GTAGCAGTAGCAGTAGTAGTAGTAGTAGTAGTAGTACTAGTACTAGTACTAGTACTAGTACTAGTACTAGTACTAGTAGTGGTAGAAGCAGTAGAAGTAGTAGTAGTAGTAGTAGTAGAAGAAGCAGTAGTAGTATTAGCAGTAGTAATAGCAGTAGTATTAGCAGTAGCAGCAGCAGCAGCAGTAGTGCTAGTCGTCGTCGTATTAGCAGTAGTCGTAGCAGAGGAGGAGGAGGAGGAGGAGGAGGAGGAGGAGGAGTAGTGGTAGTAGATCGTCGTGGTGGTGTTGGTAGCAACTTGTGTGATGACAATGCTGTCGTCGTTGTTGCTGAGTAGCTATGCTCAACAAGGACGCTTGGTGCTTCTGTTGGTCGAAGCTGGCAGGACCGCCAGTTTTCGCAGCTGAATGGAGAAGATGCCTCCCAGGCCGTACTGGTGGCGGAGGAGATGAGGACCTCGCAGCTACCACATTTTTTGTGACTCTAAACCCAGATGTTCCATGCCCGTAGCCTCTTTTGGCATCTGTTCATTCATCCCCCCCTCGTGATGTGATGAGGGTGCGGCTGATGCACGGCATCCTTTGCTGCTGTGACGAAGGCTCCCGGCCTGTCTGGTGGATATTTTGGGGACTGTTCATTAGCATGTGCAGTGCACAGTAGCTGAAGCAGCTGCTGAGGCAGTTCCGCGGCCGTGTTCTTTCGGCCGGATGGGCGGGCACTGAAGATGAAGGCCCCTCCGGGCTGTTGCAGGTCGAGTGAAGTTCGACTTTCTTGATCCTTTGCGGACAGGTCACACCAGCTGCGTTGACCCTGATCCGAGCATTGTCAGTCACTGGGTTGCCATATTGTATGCGCCCGGGTTCCCATGCAGATTTGAGAGTTGTTTTGCTGTCTAGCTACCCCGCTTCTTTTATCTACTTGCCTGTTGATGCCGATTCAAAGGAGAGGTTGAACCGAAGTTTGACAAGCCGTGAGCGGGATTAACTCCGCGTAACTTATCTGGCAAACGATAAAGCCAATGCGCGGAAGTTCTAACTTAACCACATATTCCTTAAATATCAACAAAAGGCCCGTCAGATGAGTAGTCTAAGAAGCCAAGTATGGGTACGGACAGCACACCAGCTTGCGACATGTAATGAAAGGACCAGGTAGATCGCAAGCAGATCGAGCGATTCTCAGACAACTAGGCAGTTAGCTAGCGAGCTAACTAGCCCAGGATGTCTGGCTAGCTGCGGCTCGCTGGCTGCGTATGCAACTTACTAGCTTGCCTGCTAAGCTACCGGCCAACCAACCGAACCTTGCCCAACTATCCAACTAGCCAACGACCCGGGATAACAAACTAGCCAAGTAGCCACCACTTCAGCAACTGAGGTGGACATTTCCAACCCTTGTCAAAAACTCCAAGCTTTCCTCAATGCTGCTTAGCTCACACCTTCACTAGGCCCATGCATCCTTCACATGTTGCTAAACCCTAAACCCTAAACCTAAAACCCTAAACAAGCTCGAGGACGTGCCTCAGAGGATCCGAGACTTACCCTGCAGAGACGCGTTTGAGCGCCTCTGCGTCCTCGAGGTTCTCCGCGACGCTGGGGCCGGGGCTCCCGGGAAAAGAAAGCGCGCTTAATTCAGGGGTTGGGGGTTCAGAGTTTAGAGCGTAGGGCCTGTAGGGTCTATGCTTTAGGGTTCGGGCTACAGCCACTTGCTGAGATTGATAGTCATTCGGCTATGCTTTTGGATGTTTTGTTTGTTTGTTCCTGTGCGTGTCATCCTTGCTGTTATCATTCTTGCTTTCCTTCCCCTCCTTCCTGTCTGTGCGTTACTGCTCGAGGCAAGGCTATGCCTCTCCTCCTCTGCATGACTTTTGCGACACGTGAGACTGCTGATGTCGTTGATCTGTTGGTTACGAGCATGGTGCTGAATGCGATTGTAATCAGTGCTCTAGTCTTGCCCTTTACGGCTCCGGTCTTGCCCTGATCTAGTATTGTTTTCGGAGGTTCGGTCCCTCGAAGTGACTTCGACAAAGACCATGGGCAGCGCTGTGCCCCGGACCCTGAGCCCTAGATCCGAACATAAGAAATCTGCTCTGAACCCCTTGGCCCTCCGAAACCGCAGACCCGAAACCGCTCCCCAACCCTAAATTCCTAAGTTAAAGCCTCAGGCCGCAAACCGTTCCGAAGCCCTAAGCCCCTGAACCCCAAGTTGCCTAGGTCCGAAAGCCTCTCTTCCCAAAGACCGGTTGGGTCGGGCCCTTTGTTCCGAGGTCCTTCAGCTCTTCCTGAAGAGCGCTGAGAGCTCGGCCGCGGAGATCGCCTGACCTGCGACGAAAACCAGAGAGACTTCCTAAACCCTAAACCCTAAGCCCTAAACCCTAAACCCTAAGAGCCCTTTAACAAAAAACCCTAAACCCTAAACTTGTACAAGGGTTGCATAATTTTACACGTCTTTGTCTACGAGAGTCTAGTGTTTCGGCACGCCCCGCGGCTTGAAAGCAGCGAGGTTTAGTGGGTTCGGGCGGTTGATACTTTTTTTTTTCGGTACCTGATGGCTCTTCATGTCGGGCTCTGTGTAGAGTGGGTTTGATGCCGTCGTTCTAGGGCAATTTCTGGACTTTCACGGTTTTCGAAGCTCTTAGGATCTTGGAGGCTTTGATAAGAGCCACGTGGTTTAGGGTTTAGGGTTTTAGGGTTTTAGGGTTTAGGGCTGGTTTAGGGTTTAGGGTTTAGGGTTGAAAGAGTGCTCTCCTGGAGCAGGCACGGCACAGAAGGCGCATTCTGCGCGAGGTGCGATGATACCTTGCAGTTCTTCATTCCTTGTACCTTGCTGACAGGCGCTTGAAGCCATAACGCGCTTGACATCTCGACGTTACTTGGATGAAGAGCCTACGCCTACACCCGGAGCATCTTCGGATCAGCCTTGTTGTTCGTTGAGGCGCGACCACATCGCGGCCTGCGGCGAGCAGAGTTGCAGTCCGTCGCCATGTAGCCCTGACACTCCTCTACGGTCCGGTGCTCTGACTTTGGGATTTGGTCATGGAAAATTTGAGTCTTCCTTTCTCGAACTTGCAGGGAGCTCCTGGATCCACCTGCTGGAGCGCACCGACGAAAGCTTAGAATCGGGGTGCTCGACGGCCGGAGTCGCATCGATCTTCTCCACTGCCTCTGCGGCAGATGTGGCATTCATAAGCATTGAGGTACTGCATCTTGAAAGACTACATTTTGCTTGGCCCCTTCTAGTGGTCATCTTCTTAGTCAGGACAATGTTTGTTTTCGCGATGTCATGGCTAGCATCGCAGTCACCAAGAACTCTTTGTCTCAGGTATCGATTGGGAAGGATGCTTTCAAGGCGGCGTGATCCTGCACAGCAGCGCAAAGAAGCACAGGAAGTGAACGGAAGGCATGCCGCCGGCTCCAGCAAAAGTCTTCGTCAGTCAGAGTTGGTTGCTGGAGCGCCGGCCCTAGTAGGCCTCTGCAATGTACTGAGATGTGTCAATGCAAGAATAGCCTCTGCAGGAGTAGAGCATGAACAGTTGTACTCTGCTTGATTGGCGATTTGCGATTGGTCGGGCTGCAGCCAAGGACCCAATACACCCTCTCAGGTGCACAGGCCCTTTCGGTCCACTTCCGCGGTCTTGTCTTCCCTTGTGGATCTTGCATTCGGCCGGGTAGGTTTACGATCATTCACATACTTCTCCATGTTGGTGTGGACGTCTTCTACTTCGACATGGATACGTGGGGACGCAAGGTTGCTGAGAGAAGTGTGGCAGCTCTCAGTAGTTTGCTTCTGCACTTCAACGAGGTTTTTCCTGAAAAATCCTTTGCCGACATTGCTTTCACAGGCACTAGATAGCAGTCGCATGACCCTTGCGGGGTTTTTGGAGTTGGTTGCAGGCGCGCAGAGGGAAGCACGAGACTATGTTTTCCGGACACGGCGATGGAGATTGTGCGCCGACCTCGCTCGCTCGAGCAAGCCGTTGCACACTCCTGGGGAACTGCAAAAGGCGCCAGGATTTGATACGCCCGCTCCATGAAGAATTCCCTGCAAACCGCATACTTCAGGGCTCTGGCTTCATAAGTTTGTTTGGGCTCAGATCAATATCGGCGTGTTTTACATCAAAGCGACGCCTGGCACCCAGAAGAAAGTTTCCTCGGCTGGTGATCATAGGAAAGACGGCAGCGACGCTGGAGCACGGTGGACTGTCGTCTGAAGCCTGCTTCTTGTTGCCTTCTTTGATGCTGCCGCTGCTGTTGCTCCTGTTGCGCGTGTTTCTGCAACCTGCAACCCAAGAAGCGACTTTTCACTCTCCCACCCTTAAGGTGCCCCAAGCGTCTACCCGGCTCAGAAACCCTCTCCGTGGGCTGGTCCGAGGTTTCGCATGACGGAGTGGTTCTCTCGGTTTCTGGACTGGTGCCCTTCTGCAGCGCTTTTTAGGGGTTCTCTGGGTTCCAAGGCCATTGCCTGATCTGCCTCTGTCTTCCCTGGCTCTGCAGCTTCTTATGGACATGTGGGCAGCAAACTTACCGTCATGCCCATGGGACGACTGTCTCCATGAACGATCTGCAGGATCCCGAGCCCAACCTCACCCATATCTTGGTACTCGTAGCATTTTGCGCTCTTGTGTAAACATGCCTCACCCATGGCTCAACCGTCGCCGTAGCTCGCAGGGTCCTCAGTGGGCAGTCGTGGTGCTGAGTTCCGCTCACTGGAAGTCCGAACTTGTGCGCCTGGCTGCAAAGGCTTGCAACCATTGCAAGCGGAGCGTTAGCGGTGGCTGTGGCACTCGTTCGGCACTGAGGGATGTTTAGTGTGCCGTACTGCACCTTACTAGCACTGTGCTCAAACAGCTTGAAACTCCATGCCTTCAGTGCGATTTGCGCTTTTGGGAGTGAATGCTTGGCTCTTGTGAGCAAGGCTGGTCTACAAAGAGGCGGGCTGGTGCTGAAGACTTGCCCACGGAGCAGTAACTGCTGGCACTATTCATGTAACAGTTGCATAGCTGGTCGCAGGCAGCACATGTGCGCGAGATAGAAGCTGCTTTGTGCAGGCTTCGTGTCCACCGGCATCCAGCAGTGGGTGCCTCGGGACGCGCGTCCGACCTATCGCCGCTCAACCATTGGGGTCCACTTCGTGCTGCGATCTGTTGCGGGAGCGACGAAGAACGCCAGAGGATGCGCTGTGCCCCCCCACCGCCTTCCCTAAAGTGCCTATGGTTTCCTAAGTGCGATATCCAACACTTCAAACCGCGCTCGTAGTCACTCGAAGGCCTCTCCGGAGCCTGCCGACTCTGCGAGCATCCTCCCCGAAGGACGATTGGTCTTGCTTTTTGTTCTTGGGGTGGTTGGCGTTTGAGGGGGTTTTCAGCGTTAGTGACGAGTTTTAGGCTGCTGCGGTTTAGGGGTTGAGGGTTCGAGGCCTCGCCTTTTGGGGGCCTGGACGTCTGCCTCCCTGAAACCTAGACAGGGTTCAGATCCGAGTTCTAGCTGCAATCCGGTCAGACGTGTCCTTCTGCTGCGACAGACAGACGCGGCTATACCAGCTACTGGTACAAAGTCATGTGTAAGACCGACCGACCTAGATACCTAGCTACCTCCCTGCGTGCCTTCCTGCCTACCTGCATCCTGCGTGCCTTCCATCCATCCATCCACCCATCCATCCATCCATGCATGAATGTATGCATACATACGCGACACACGCACGCACACAGATGCACACAGATGCATGATGATGCATGCATGCTTGTCATTTCGCAATGCCGCCAATCGAGTCGCAGGATTCTGAACGAAGTCTGGCCACGAAAGACGATGCCAAGGTTGGCCGGCTGTCTTGGAGGGCCGTTGGCTCCTAGAGAGCTTTGGGAGGAGGTTTCTTGTCACGTCCTGCTTCTTTGGGTTTTTTCCGAAGCTCCCAGTGCCGGGCAGGTGACCAAGCCTGGGGAGGTGGACCTTGAGCAAGTTGTCAAAGATGCGACTTGGATTATCTTGGATTGGTTTTTTAGTGGACCCTACCCTTGCCCGAAGAACCGTGCCGGCTCGTGGTGCTCTTGGTGGGCTCAGGCAGAAAATGCCGATGATGAGAGGCTAGCTCGCGAGCTGTCGGAGTATGACGACGTCGCCGACAGCCTGGAAACCCGGTGCAGGGAATCCTCGATCACCATTGTGCCTTTGCCACTTTTTCATTCATGACCCGAGTGTTTCGCAGGCATTGTCGCTGCCGCCGTCCGAGATGCCGAAACCAACAACCCTGAGGCCTTTCCCCAAAAGTCCAGGATCCCGTGCCATTTCGATTTCGTGCGCTGCTTGGTGCACAGGTGGAGATCGAACTGGCGCGAGCTTCTTGCCTGAGTTCATTGCGCGTGCTGTGGTGGAGTGGTGCTGGATCTTCTAATATTATATATTATATATATTATATATTATATATTTTATATTATATATTATAGGCTCTGCCATAAGCCCTACATCCCGAGCTAGGGATGCTGCAGGCGAAGCGGCAGCAGGAGATCGCACAGGCTGTTGTAGTGTTTGGCACGCATGTAACCCGCGAAGACCGGACTTTCCGAGCAGGCAGTGGTCATTCCCTCAGGCTGTACACTCAGATGTCCGGATTTTTTTGTTTTTGGTTGTGCGGCTTGGAATTGGTGGAGGTCCCGTTTACGACGTGCTCTCTTTAGTGGACAAGCTCTGAGCTGAGTCTGTCGACGAGCTTAGTGAGCCATGTGATCACGGCGACACGTCCTGAGGTACGGGGGGACCTCTGAGGTGTATGAGAACCACAAAGTCGCTGCGCAGGACAGCTGGATTCCCTAGCTCCTGTTGTCTCCAATCAGGCTCAACTCCAAACGAGTGGCCTCCATCCCCAAACCCGAAAGCATCGCAAGCGCCGGTTTAAGAACCCACCGGTTTTCCAAAGAGCCACTGGTGATGGTCGATCTAGGGAGCTTAACAAAGACAGGGCACACATTGACCATCGGTCGCATGTAGAGGAGCCTTATGTTTGAGCAACGCCATGCAAGAAGCACGGTAAGTCGAAGAAAGTAGAGATGTACTACATACTTTCATCAGTAGGTGTACCAGGAGTTGTCCGATACTCTTCCATGCAGAATTCCACCTTTGCCACTGTTTGCCTGGCCTCAGGCTGATCTAAGCTTCGGGATTTGTTGCTTGTGTTTGGTTTCATCCTGACACTTCGATTTGTTTGGCTCGTGACTAATATTAGACTGATGTTCATATTATCGTGGTTGTTTCGTTCTATGATCCTCCTCTCCATCAGTCTATCAAATTCAATCAGCATCATGCTGCCCCAAAGCAGTCGTGCTCCTGTGGAGGCAGGATACTTCCAGCAGCTCCCGCAGCTCAGGACGCATCTGGCGTGAGTTTTCCCCTGCTTGCGAAGCCCAACATGGCCCAAGGGGGGGGCAACCACAATGAGCGAAGCAGAGATGGTACTACGAGGAAAATTTCTGGGAAAGAGCGCGACGAAGGCTGCTGCTACTACTCTAACCCTTTTGGATACCCCGTCGCTTGGCAGGACGTTTCTTTTCGATGAGCCGGCCTGTTTGCGACGGTTTTGCAAGTGCTGCGTGCAACTCCCGAAGCATTTGGAATCGTCAATTCTTTCTGAACCATAGACACTGTATCAACACACGCGTCTAAGGCCCTATGAATGAAAAGCATCTGAGAAGCATGTGACAGCTCGCGGAGAACCCTGTAAGAGCTCGACGAAGTCTGACAGAGCAAGAGATCCGGCCAGACCCGTGACCTCAAACTCCAAACCCTGAGCACGAAGGTTTAGGGTTTGGGGTTGAGAGTTTCCCAAGGGGTTGTGGTTACCTCTGTTAGAATTCTGAGACTGGTAAGAAAGTTTGCTATAGTGCAAGTGAGGCTGCAAGCTGTTCACAGTAACAAGCTGAATATGGCCCGGGAGCACAGCCTGAGGCGCTAGCCTAAAGGGTTAAGTTTAGCTTTCCCTGCTTTGGCACGCCAGGATTTCGTGGATGTCCATCGGCAGCAGGCTGACCAAAGCTTCGTGGAGGCTGGGCCGGGGCGCGGGGCTCCAAGGCTGGGCTTAGAAGCCCCCGTGGTTTGAAACTTGCTCTTCTCATCCTTTTTTGGGCTCCTTATTGTGTACAGTCGGATACTCCAACAACCCACCTGTATGAAGGGTTTGGGACTTGCATTAGGGCTTGGGGGTCAGGGTATGAAGTAGGGATTAGAGGTTTGCCTCAGGGTTTAGGGTTGGTCATGGTTCCATTCGGGATTTGAGAGCCCAGGTCTCAGATTTTGGATGTTGGTAGTTAGGCTTTGCCGTTTTCTTCGGGCTTGGGCGGCGAATGTCCAAGTAGAAGTTTTGGTGCTCGTAGTGTTCAGTTTGTTGCCAGTATCACATGCAGGTGCAGGGGGGCTTGGCAAGTAGTGTTTTGAGTGCCTTCATTGGGGCTCTACTGCTTACCAAGTCCGGTGATCCTTCAACAACGAAAACCCCTAAACCCTAAACCGGGTAAGTGTTTGGAGATCTAGGGCCTAGCGTTTACACGAGACCTCAACCTCCACCGCCCCCCAACCGCCCAGAACTCCAAAAACCCGGGAGCCATTTGTCCCCAAGTCTTTCTCCCCGAAAAATCCTGGCCCTGAGCCCCCTTTCCACGAAGCCTCGTTAACCCTAAACCCTAAGCCCTGAACCCCCAAACCCTAAACCCTAAGACCCTAAGAACCCTCACATGCTCCCACCCCACTTATAGGCCCTAAAGCCCGAAAGGCCCGAACCCTTGAGCTGGGGAGGGGAGGGGGCGCCTAAGAAGCGAAGTTGCCGGCATCAGGGCTTCAGGGCTTCAGAGGGGTCCCCCCCTCTCCTGTAGTGAGGGCTGTGTCAGGGGTTTTGTAGGGATTTTCAGGGGGCTTCACGCGTTTTGGGGCTTGGGAGGTTGGGGTTGTCGCAGCTTGGGACCTTCAGGTCATGGGGTGAAGGCGAACCAGGAAGAGCCAACTCTAGATCCCCTAATAGGCTAAGCCCAGAGCCCAAAGCCCTAAGCCCTCAACTCCTAAGCCCTATGGCCCTCTGCGAGGGTTGGAAAGGTTCTTGATTTCAGACTCTGGGCTTTGAGGGCTCGGACCTCTACTCTGCAGGGGCTTATGGGTTTACGGTTTGAGGGCGCTTCGCAATGTGGTTTCCTAGGGGATGACAGCACGAACAGTTCCGTGACATGCTCCAACCCCGAGCCTCTCAAACCCTGCACCCGAAGCGTCTAGGGGTCTCCAGGGCTTCTAGGGTTTGGGGTCTCGCGATGTCTTTGGTCTACATGCCATGAACCACTGATGCGGTCAGTTTGAGCACGCGACGGGCTCCAAGTTGGTCCTCGTTGGTGCAAAGCCCCAGATCGCATCGGGGAGTGTTTGGTGATTTCGGAGCTGTTGGGGGGGTCGAGCGGTTCTAGGTCCTAGGTGTGGCGCCAGAGATTAATCCTGGTTGACATGCACCAGCAGCTTGCAGCCTGCGACCGGGAGACACTTTCTTAGCATATGGTCATATGGACGATACAGCTGCAGAGTGCTGTCGCTCATGCTTTGTCACACGAGTGACAGTATCGGTGCTCGCCAACCCTAAACCCTAAACCCTAAACCCCTAAACCCAAAACTCCTAAACCCTAAACCCTAAGCCCCCAAGTGAAAGTCAACTGCAGGCACCAATCACATCTCAAGGAACTCCACGGAGTTCGCGCGACAGACTGTCTTGAAAGAGAGGCTCGTAACTTGCGTGCTTGGGCGGCGTGGTTTTGGAGGATAGGGCTTTCGCTGATGTCGTGAAGCTTGGAATCCGAATCATCACACTCTAACGTTCGAAGCCCGCAATCAGCATGTCGTAGGTAGGTTGGGAACGCGCCCAGAGAGAGATCAACACCTCTGAATAGCGGAAGGTGCCTTAAACTATATACACCACATGGTGCTTCTTCTTAGACTTGTGGTTTCAGGTAGTTTCCTCCAGGAAGGGGCATCGGGCGCTCTGGGGGACGCCTGCAAGTGGAGGGTTTCGGACCTAAGTCCCGAACCATGGCACCTCCCTTAGAGGAGCCCAATACCCCTTAAATAAGGAATATATGCCTTAAATTAGAGGGGCCTGATAAATAGGATTTAAGGTATATCTTCCTTGATTAAGTAAGGGGTATTGGGCTCTTTGGGTCCTCCATGCCGGAGACAAGGGAGCAGGTGGACTCCATCACCACAAGTTCCTGCGTTGAGGGGTCGGGAGGCTTTCATGGCCATGCCCGTCAGAAGAAAGGAGGCCCTTAAGCCAATGGGCACGGGATACAAAACTCAGCTTGACCTGATCTCGGGCAATTTGCCCGGGACCTGGGTGGCTGTTTTTCCGGAATAGGACCAACGTCGCTTGTCACCGCAAACCTGAACCCTCCGCTGTGGGCGGGTCACAGCCTCTTCTTGTCCCCAAATGCACCATCCGGTTTCTGAGCCGCGGATGGCCTTCAAGAGGGGCACCATGAAATTCGGCCAGAACCCAACAGAATTTTAGATCGCTGAGGTCCAGTCAACACGGTCAACATCGGTAATTGGTACATAGCTGGTCCCCACCACATCCCACCATGATATCATGCGGCAAGTTTGTGGCACCAGCCTGTAGACGAACAGATGAGTAACCCAAAAGACTGGGACTTCTCTGGAACTGCACCGCCGCGCTGGAAAGGGAGATGTCTACCTTGAATCGTTAGGAAGCAATGCCTTGCATGGCACCTCAAATGCGTCTTTCGTCCGGGGGGCTTCAGAAGTTCAAAAGCAGAAACCTTGAGCATCAACCAGAGTGTGGCTCACACCCGGAGACGGCAGGGGAACTCTTTCCGAAGTGGCACCAAGCGGTTCATGAAGAGGCTCGGGGATGCGGCAAGGCATCCTAGGGTCCCAACAACCTACAAACATTGCATTTTGCAGACATTTGGGGCAGCTCTAACCAGCAAAGCCCCACAGACCCTGCGCGTCAGGTCCCGAACCGTACACCACAAAAGGCCCCAGAATCCCCAGAACACCGAACTGGGGGGCTTCCGAAGCCGCCAAGCCCAAGAGCCCGAACACTCTTGATCCTCTGAAGCCCTGAGCCTGAAACCATCGGGTTTAGGGCTTAGGGTTTAGGGTTTAGGGCTTAGGGTTTAGGGTTTAGGGCTTAGGGTTTAGGGTTTAGGGTTCAGGAGCTTAAATCCACCGCTCATAGCTCACAGCTCGCAGGCCCGAGTGCTTGGTCATTGAGAGACGCCTGGGCGACGACAGTTCCGATCTTGGCTCCACTGGAAGAGCTCGGTTGTGGGGTGGTCTGGCGTTTGAGGTTAACAATAGATTCAATAGAGTCCTAGGGTTTGGGGTGTAGGACTTGCATGGTTTAGACTGTTAGGGTTTTTTAGGTTTCAGGGTTTAGATCTTTGGATTTTGGGCAATGGTCGTTAGGGTAGCATTAGCAGTGGCGAGAGTGCGTAGCGGCAAACTTCGACTGCGACAGCATTGGTGATGACAGTTCAGCACTAGTGGCCATCATCGTCTCACCATACTAGTATTAATAATCGCAGAAGGCGGAGAAGACAACAGAATCTATACCCTAAGCCGTAGTAGATCTGAGAGATCAGAATAAACCCTCGAAGGTTTGCAACGCCTGACAGTCCCGGAGCGGCAGCTTCAGGACGAGTTGCTATGGGCTGGGAGTCTCAAACCCTAGGCCCAGTAAGCCTAAACCGAAGTCATAGTCGCAGAGACGAGCACTGCCAAGACATGGATGGCAAGAATCGCAAGAACAAGTA